TATACATTAATCATTTTCTCTATGTATATATTTCGTAGAAGGCACTATGGGAAGATATGCAGAATGTGTTAGCACAATTCGTGGATTACATGGAAGAGATAGAGGACAACTTAGAGGACTATGCCACAAGCTGTGGGGATGCAGGTTGGGAACGTAGAGGAGACAGGCATAAGGGAACCTTCTACACCGGACACACAGTTGCGGACAAGATGAAATGCAGACTGATGGTTGGAGCATTACATTTTGTAGCTGGGTGGGGCAGTCAACTGAAAAATGATAACGAACCATCGGAAAATGATAACGACATGAAGGCTATTATGAGGTGTATGGTGGCAAATGTTTTTGCGTATATATTGGCGGAAATAAAGTGTAGAGATGAGTGGCCTGCAATAGATCAAGCTTGGAAGATAATGAAGCAGATTGCAGTGGGAACGGGAGACACCTCTAATCCGCTTTTCACCGGCAAATGTAAGCTGGATGAGTACAGGGGTACAAAGGTAGGAACAGCGGATTTGCAGGGTGCGGTAAAAAAATGGTTAGAGACAAATACAACAATAAATGATCGTATAAACGCAATAAAGAAGGACCCACAATGCAAACTAAAATGGGAAACGTACAAGAAAGACATGGAACAGAGCGGAAACGATGCATTAGGAAGAACATCAGGGAAGGTGCATCCCGGGGTAGGTGCCATGGCTAATGGTGGCATTGGAAAAGAGATAGTGGAAGTGGTGAAGGAAGTATTCGTAAAAATGAAGGACGAAGTAATAGAAAAGTCCAAGTCACCGCCAGAGATACAAGGAGCAGGTAACGGCAGCAAGCATGCGATTCGTAAGAATACTAATACGAATACGCCCCGCACCGCGCTTACACGGACTGCACGACTGCGCACACGCGGCGGAACAGCACCCCTTCGCTGACGTGTGCAGTCACGACGGGAGCGGCGTCACTGTGGTGCGGCCACGAGTGTAGACGAGGTGTGCGCGGCGGAACCGCATGGAGCGGTGTCGAAGGCCGGAGACGGACGACATGACGGCCACAAATATAAGTGTACTGCTATCATCCGTCCACACAGTTCAACTGACCGTGCGCTTGCTGCCGCGTCACCGTGTCCACCGAGTGCACCGCGACCCATGCATCGACCCACTGCATCGAGCCGGACCGTACCCGGCCGCTACCTGACCCCACCGTCTCGCGCCCCTTCTTTCTGTCTACCACTTGTGTCCCTTTTTTTTTTTTATCATCGTTCTACCATGTTTCTTGGGTTCCCCATCTTAGGTAAACCAAGTGCAGGACGCGAACTCGGGGATCCCGCAGGAGGCAGGTCATTGCCGCCATCGCAACCACAAGCACCGGCATCTGCAGTATTACCAGCAAGACCACAGGCACCTCCTCCACCGTCACCACCTCAGGACCCGACTACTCAGGGCGGCAAGGAAACGCACAGTACAGATAGGTGCTCAAAGCCAGCACAGTCTGCCACAGTCGTAAATGCAGGCGAAGGTCTCGCCGGTGCTAAATCCATTACCACTATCACTTTTGGCACGAGTTCCGGAACTCATGATGACTGTGACCAGAAGTCCAAAGACACAGAAGCAGGTATTGTCCTGAGTGCATATCCACAACAAAAACACAGAGAACACAAAACACACATACAACTTTTCCGGAGAGAGGGAGAGAGAACACGGAGAGCGAGAGAAACCAAACGTCGAATGAGAATGAGGCGGGCGACAGACACCGCCGCGGGATGTAGACGTAGCCACGTAGACGTCGACAGACATCGACACACACATGCACACTGTGTGTGTTGTGCGTGTTGTGTTGTGTGTGTGTTGTGTGGGAGAGAGAGAGAGTCTTTTCCCCGGGGTGGCACCTGCCCCGACGCATGCCGACCGAGCATGGCACCAACCGTGTGGGCAACCATGAGCAACCACTGCACAGAACTTCCGTTACATCATCTTCACTTTTTCCTTTGCCTGTTCAGGTAGTGGAACAGCAGATGGTACCGCGACGAATGCTGATCCATCCGAGGAGTCCAACACAGTTAAGGATATACCAGGAAGTAATGATCAATTACGTGCCGGGAAGCCTGCCAATGGCGTCGATGCTACCTCTCCGACGAATCAAGGACAACAGGAACCAGCTAAACCTGCAGTGGTACATAATGTGGAACAATTAACAGGGAGCAAGAAGGAGGATGTTACCGAGGGGGTTAGTCCTACAGAGGGACAAGGTAATGTCGTGCAGAAGGATCCTGAGAAGACCGAGCAGCCCCCCGGCTCCTCCGGTCCAGCTGCACCAGCTGTGGAGGATCCTACACAGTCTAATGCAGGGAAGGATGGAACGGATGGATATTCATGGGGATCCGGTACATCCGATATAGATGTGGGTGGAATCGATCCATGGGATACAACGGATTGTGGCGCCAAACCGACAAAAGATAACTCAGATCCTCCCGGTTCCTCCTCCTCCACCTCATATCCGGCTGACTGTTCTACAAAAGATAGTTCCAAGAAGTATTCAGTATGCGACTTCAACATATCATTGAGCACAGCGCAGGGTGCCACGGATCCAGGAGGAGGCTTCGTACCACCAACCTTACCAGAAGATAAATCTCGTGCCCAGAATGACGACCCGGGTGGCGCACAGAAGGGCCCCTCCTTGCCCGATCTAACGAACGCCGTCCTTACCGCCACTGCTCCCGTACTCTTCTTCCTGTCCGCCGTCACCGTCGCCCTTCTTGGTTATTCCCTTTGGAAGGTAAGTACCTTACACGACGCCGTGTATGCGTATCCGCAATATGTACCATAGAAAAATGTGTTCCCAACGGGGTCTTTTCACCATTCTAACACACATGCACTCTTCTACATCGTCCTGGTTCTTTTTTTTTTTGTTTAGTATTTTGCGTACCTCGCCAAACGACGACGAATATATCGAACCGTTCGTGACGTCCCGTCACCGCAACTCGACGAAGAAATATTGGAGCATCTACAACGCGGCGACCTGCCGCCACCCGATTACGGGTACACCTTGATTAGGGATAGGCAACCTGCGTCAATATCCGGTAGCGCACGCCCACCACGCGTGCATAAGCGCACGATCATCGAGCTACATTTAGAAGTGCTCAACGAATGTGAAGCAACCGAATGGGAAAACGTCAAAGACGACTATTTGCAAATACTCGTTGAACAGTTTATGGGGGGCAACCACGGGCATAGTAGTTCCTTGGATGCTCCTACCATAAAGCAGGGTTTATCAGGGATAAATGGTTCATCCACCGCGGATCAATCCACTGACATGGAACGAACGGACGCATCTCCACGTAACGCAGAGCACCCAGATCCATGGCGTTGTATGGAAACCATACAGTTCGCAGCGCACACTTCTCCACCTAACGAAGATGACCCATGCAGTTGTATGGAAAACATACAGTTAGAAACGGACCCTTCTGCACCACATGACCCCGATCCATGGAGTTGTATGGAAACTAAACAGTTAGAAACGGGCCGTTATCGCCCTAACGAAGATAACCACGATCCATGGAGTTGTATGGAAACCATACAGTTACATACAGCACCGGACGCGCACTCCTCCCCGCGGAATGAATGCCCGATCCCCGATCACACTAATTGGATTAACTGGATTGACCGCAACAAACATATTCTGCGGGCGTGCACGACGCAGCCGTGGTTTTTGCAATTAAAAGCGGAATGGCAACAATATTATCAACAACATTCGGCAGACGAAGACAACGTAGTATCCGGGCAGCGTGCCTTCGGTGATGCGGCCACCCTGCCGATGCTGAAACTGCGGTTGTGGAAAGCATGGGTTGCGCAACAACATCGGCAAATGCGTATGTATGGCCAGGAGGAGTGGTTCCAGCATTTGTTGAATAATGTACAGGAGGAAACAGTGCCGGCAACAGGCGATATACACGGAGTGGAAAATGCACTGGCCGCAGAAGATGTTCTAAGAGCGCGAGATGTACCACGCGCGCAACCACTCCATGAGCAATACTACAACAAGAAACCACTAATACCCAAATTGTGGATGCTGCTCCTCGCGTCCGTAATCGAAGAATGTGAAATCGAGAGAAGTATGCAAGAGAAGGAGTTATATTTGGATGCCCTATTGCAACAGTGTTCACATTAGCATGACGGCGCTCATGCATGGGAAATAACGCATGCTAACCGTACACCACTTTTATTTCATTATATGATATACATAATGTATTTCCGGTTTACATTATTCCATACCTTCCTTTTTTTTTTTTGCTGCTCTGTTCTGCTTAATTCTGTTTACTTGTGCTCACTGTTGCCTTGTTTTGTTCTTGTTATCTAGTGAACTTCTTTTAGCATGACCATAGGAACAGGGTGGTACAGGTTAAATGCATATAAAATGTAGATTTACATGAATAATATGAACGGGGTAGAATTCTGCTTTATGTGAAGTTAATTATTAAAAGCTGAGCAAGTGCATTCTAAGCGTATAGTGCAGAACAAATATAG